AACATCGTTAAATTTTTGTTTTGTATTTTTAAAATTAGTTGCGGCTATGGTTTATAATTGATTAAATGGCTCTACTATAAGTAGTTATAATCATTTGTATCAGCGCCATCTAGCGGTCGTGATTTTTTTGGCCAAAAATTGCTTCTAAAATTCTGAAGGAGAGCTTTAGGCAGTTAAGCCCTAGAGCCATTTAGTGAATAATAAACCAGCCGCAACTTCTTACATAGATATAAAATTAATAGTTAACGATGTTTGTGCTGTTTGCGGCAAGTTTGCAATGTATCTTTTACCCGAAAGTATAAATATATAGGAGGTCGATATTCGTGTAAAAGATACATTGCAAACTTGCCGCAAATAGCATTAACAATGTTAATTTATCATTTTGTATCTGATAAATAAGTTGCGGCTGGTTTATAATTGATTAAATGGCATTACTATAAGTAGTAATAATCATTTGTATCAGCGCCATCTAGCGGTCGTGATTTTTTTGGCCAAAAATTGCTTCTGAAATTCTGAAGGAGAGCTTTAGGCAGTTTAGCCCTAGAGCCATTTAGTCAATTATAAACCAGCCGCAACTTTGTGTATAGATATAAAATAAATGATTAACGATGTTTGTGTTGTTTGCGGCAAGTTTGCAATGTATTTTCTACACAAATATCGACCTCTTACATATTTATACTTTCGGGTAAGAGATAAATTGCAAACTTGCCGCAAAAAGCACGAACGATGTTAAATTTTTATTTTCTATTCGTAAGATGAGTTGCGGCTGGTTTATGCTTAATTAAATGGCTCTAGGGCTAAACTGCCTAAAGCTCTCCTTCAGAATTTCAGAAGCAATTTTTGGCAAAAAAAATCACAACCGCTAGATGGCGCTGATACAAATGATTATTTCTATCCTTACAGTAGAGCCATTTAATCAATTATAAACCAGCCGCAACTATTTGTAAGACATAAAATAAAAAATTAACATTGTTAATGCTGTTTGCGGCAAGTTTGCAACGTATCTTTTATACGAATACTGACTTCCTATATATTTATACTTTCGGGTGAAAGATAAATTGTTAACTTGCCGTCAACAGTGCAAACGACGTTAACTTTTTATTTTGTATCCATCGAATTAGTTGCGGCTGGTTTACAATAGTATACTAGTGTAGATATATCTATATATACTTAAGTAAATGAAATATAAATCGTCTGCTTTGCGACTTGTTGTGTGCGCGCTTCTGTGTTTTTATGTATAGATGTCGTGACCAGGGGTGTTTTCCGCAAACGTCACCAGCAAGTAATTTAAGGTTGCGCTCTACGTTACCGTCAGGTCGGTAAGTCAACTACCTTGAATTAAACTGGCGCTCTGTTCCGTAATCTGGCCACTTGAAATAGCAGACGACAGTCAACAGCGATGAAATCTTCACTTTTTTCTTGACTTTCAGCTTGAACAGAGCTCCAGTTAATTCAAGGTAGTTGACTTACCGACTTGACGGTAACGTAGAGCGCAACCTAAATTACTTGCTGGTGACGATTGCGGAAAACACCCCAGGCTTCCGTATTGAGTCTAAACTACAATCTAAAGTAACTGAAGTTAAGCAACAATTTAATAAGTGCTTATTTTATTGTATACGTACCGATTAGCACTCATGGTTTCCAGTCAAGTCTAATTGTAGACAATTCGAGATCAAGTTTTAGCTGTAAAGTGAAATAACTTTTTACCAATGGTGTTATTTTTCCATAAAACTCAAATCAGTAGGTGTACATAACCTATTTAAATTCAAACTAAAAGTGTTGTTGGCACAACAATAACCCAACGCAAAGTGATCCGAACTTTTTAAGAATGGCTAAAGCTGCAGTGGTCATAGATCTCGACTCTGACGATGATCAGAGCGAGAAAGGCAAGAAAAAGCCTTGCAATACCAATTGTATTAATTTTAAATGCTCTTCTGGAGTTGACATGAGGCCTACCACCTCCTTTGCTTGTTCATTTTATGGAGTAAACATGCAGAAAAAAAAGAAACGATTCATATGCAAAGCTTGTTTAGATGCTGCTTTGGATCATCAAGAGGTAACCATATCAATCCAACGACAAACCATCCCAACAATTATATGTGCGAAATCAGGAATATAATAATTAATTAAATTTTTAGCAACTTGTCGATGCACTGATTGGCCACAAACCGCTACTCCAGTGTGATTTTCCAGACCATACGATGGAAGTCGAAATTTCTGACAGTGATGAATCTGACAGTGAGACCAAGGATGGAAAAGGTATATAGCTTGGTTTTGCAAGAGAATTTAATTTTTTGAGAATTTCATGATTATTTACTTTAATTAATTACTGTCATTTATAGATATGTTTCTAATAGAGGGAAATGCCCTTGTTGAATTTGAAAAAAAAGTTGATTCAACATTGACCACTATATTTGAAAAGTATGACATTAACTTTCAACTCGAAGAAGCTAATACAGCCTTGAAAACTGAGTGGAATCTCATTGATGGTAAAATGCATTTTAATGTAAATAAATTGAAAAAATACAGTAATTTGGCAAATCTTATTTTTACAGCAACCGAAGCTAAGCTAAACGATTCTATATCAAAAACGATGAAACGGTTGGATTTAATACGTTCAACATTTTATAATGAATTCAAACCAAGTATCAAGATGTTAGAAGAGTTAAAAATAGAGGATGAAATTCCGAGTTTTCCAATGATAGCAACTAAAAAAGTTACACAAATTTGCCCACCACCAAGGCCTCAAATCCAGCTTCACCCTCAGCCTCCTCAGCGTCAGCGTCAACCTCATCCTACCCCTGGTCCTCAACCTAAACCCAAGCCTCAATCACAGCCTCTAACTCCACCTTCAATAACGATTCAAGCTCAAACAAAAGCTCAAACACCAGTTCAATCACAAACTCAAATACAAATTAAACCACAAGCGCCAATTCAAATACAAACCCAGCAAGACAACCAGCCCGAAATTTTACAAGAAGTTGGAGGAGGCGTAGCTCGCTCATCGGATTTACCACCAGCTGGTCAACTGATTAGGCCAGTACCTAAAATCGATGACTTTGTATTCATAATGAAACATCCTCTGTTCCCTTGGATCAAAGCAAAGGTTCTAAATAACTTCTTTTCGTGATTTTCATTAAATTAAAAAAGTATTTATTCGTGTAATCAATTTTTTTTTTTTTTAACAGATTCAATCCATTGTTTCTAAGAGTCCAATGAATTACTCCGTTAAACTGTTGCAAAAGAAATACGCTGGCAAAGTAAAGACCCTACCTGGAAAGCAACTAGCATCGAGTACACCCAGCGAAGTCATTATTCCTGTGGGTACTCGAGTGGTTGCTATCTTCCAGGACACTTACTGTAGCAATTACTACAGTGGAGTAATTGCTGAACCCCCCAAATCCACAAACAAATACAGGTACGTGAGAAAATCTATTTTTCTATTAAAAATTACTTTTAACTAATCTTTACAAAACTTTTGCAGATACCTAGTTTTCTTTGACGATGGATATGCACAGTATGTCAAACACAAGCACATATTTCTCGTCTGCGAAAGTTCCGCACGCGTCTGGGAGGACATACCCCCAGAATCTCGTGATTTCGTCAAAAAGTACCTAGAATCGTATCCAGAACGACCTATGGTGAAACTGCAACGCGGTCAGGTCGTTAAAACAGAGTGGAACGGAAAATGGTGGATAGCGCGTGTTCGAGAAGTCGATGCTAGCTTGGTACAAATGCACTTTGACGCCGACAACAGAACTGAATGGATTTATCGTGGCTCCGCGAGACTAGGACCGCTTTACGTCGAGTTGATGAAAGCCAATCTCAGACAACAAGGCTGTCACTCGTCCATTAACACGCCCAGTCGCCATCGTGGAGGACTATTTATGAGCGTACGTTACTTTTAGTATGAGTGAAAAATATGATGAATTTTTTCTTGATCAGCGATAATTATCATTGTAGAAAAATGGTCCGTATGTGGAGTACACGTCTAATACGACGGACGAACAAGACGCGAATAAGGAAAAGCAATCGACTCCTAGCAATATTCAAGAGGTCTCGACTACTCCTCAGCAGAGCAGAGCTGTTGCCAAAAAAAGCACAGCAAAAAAGACAATGGCACCCGAGACTTCAACGGCCAATTACAATCCCGTGGAAACAAAATCTTCTCACAGTATCGTTGTAAGAATCTCTTAAATTTAATTTTATGTAATTCATCATTTTTATTGATGCACTGAGAAAATTCTTCTTCTTCTTTCAGTACTACCAAACGCAAAATAAGATCCAGACTAAGAAGTTTGTGCCCCACAGATGTGGGCCCAAGTGTGTCGAAAGTATCTCATTCACGCCTGACGAGTTGCGTGGCTACTCACCTCTGTCTATTCCCCTCTTGTGTGGCTGGAATCGACAGTTTTGCAGATTTCCGAAAGGAAAAAAAATTATTTTCTATCAAGCCCCATGTGGTGTTCGTCTGCGTAACATGGAGGAGCTTCACAAGTACCTGAGAAAAACCAACTGCCCAATGTCCGTCGATCTGTTTGAATTTGACTTCTGGGTGCATTGCCTTGCTGAATTTGTTCTTGACAAATGTTTTGTTAATATCAAGGTAATGTAATCTTCCAATTGTCCTTCAAAGTATCTGAATGAACATAGGGAATAATAGGAATTCAATACTACTGCAAAATTTTTAGGATCTGAGTTATGGCGTAGAAAGTGTTGCGATCCCATGTGTTAATGAAATAGATCACGCCTATCCCGACACAATCAAGTACACAACGCAACGCGAGCCTACGGATGATGTCCACATCAATCTTGACCCGGATTTCCTCTGCAGCTGCGACTGCGAAGACGATTGTGCCGACAAGAACAAGTGCCAGTGCTGGCAATTAACCATACAAGGAGCGACCCTCGGTGGCCGTGTGCCCAACGCCGCTGTCGGCTACGTTTACAAACGCCTACCCGAGGCTGTTACTACTGGTATCTATGAGTGCAACTCTAGGTAAGCATGCATTAAAAAAAAAAAAAAAAAAAAAAAAAAAACCATTGTCTTAAAATAACTACTCATCTATATGTTTCACAAAGATGCAAGTGTTCAGTGAAAACGTGCCTAAACCGAGTAGTCCAACATCCGTTGAACTTGAAACTACAAGTATTCAAAACAGCCCCACGTGGCTGGGGCATCAGATGTCTCAACGATATTCCCTTGGGCTCTTTCATCTGTATCTACGCGGGTCGTCTGTTGACGGAACAGGGAGCTAACGAAGGCGGTAAAAACTACGGCGATGAGTATCTAGCTGAGCTGGATTACGTGGAGGTGGTCGAGGGTATCAAAGAAGGCTACGAGAGCGACGTTCTCGACCCTGAACTGCCACTTGGCGGCGATCCCGACTCCGATCCAAAGTACAAGGAAAAAGGAAAACACGATGATACAGAATCACACAAGACTGGCTCGAACGACTCGGACGATGAGTACAAAATTGACAAGAAGTTGCAGAAGACTCTGAACATTGATGAGGATTCGAACGATGGTTCGATCAGAAGTCGATTGAGAAAGAGGAAGAAGGACGATAGTAATCAAGGATTAGAAGATAAGGGGTCAGAAGACGGACAGTCGTTAAAAGATGGTCAGGATAAAGCGGGTAGCGACGAAGATGACAACAACATGCGCGAGCCAAGTAAGCTAGATCTCGCTGTTGATACCAGAAAAATCGAAAAAGGAACCTTCAAATCCGTTCGAGAATTCTTTGGCGAAGAGGAGTCTGTGTATATTATGGATGCAAAGACTACTGGAAATATTGGACGCTATCTGAATGTGAGTGTTGTAAACTCAATATCTAAACTTTTTTTTTTTTTTTACGAACGTTTTTATGTTTCAGCACTCTTGTGACCCTAACGTATTTGTACAGAACGTGTTTGTGGACACGCATGACGTCCGATTTCCCTGGGTGGCTTTTTTCGCGTTGAGCTACATCAGGGCCGGGCAAGAATTGACGTGGAATTATAGTTACGATGTCGGCAGCATTCCTGGCAAAGTTATTCCATGTAAATGCGGAGCAAGTAACTGCAGAGGACGATTACTGTAAACAATGGATTCTCAACTCTGAGCTTTCACGAAATTTTTCTCCACTGATCATGCGTAAACAGAGTTTGTAAATAAGTGCTTAAGAACAATGAGGAATGATATAATTAATAAAAAAAAATTTTGTTTAAAAAAATTTAGCAAATGATGCTTTATTCGTACTTCTAACAAATACATCGTCATATAATTTTATACTCTGTTATTTTACAACTTCTTTCCCAAGTCGAATAATTTATTAGTATAATTTAAATAATTAAAATGAACGTAAGACACTAGTAAAACAAAACGTGAAGTTTATCCATCACACATTTTCATGGATGTTTTTACATCATCAATTTACTGTGATACAATTTACAAAATACGTAAAAAAAATTTCCATAGTACTGATACTAGTATAAGCATAAATTAAAAGCGTAAATAGTGAGTTGTGGACCAGGTTTAGACCAGTCTATATTATATTCTTATTGGAAGATTTTTATTAAAATATCTAGCAAGACATGGAAAGTATTTAGTCTTTTCCCTTACGGAATTAATCACATTTATTTGTATAGCGCTTACAGCACTTTGTATTTTAAAATTCTTCAAGTGCTTTTTCAAGACAGTAACTCTAGATGAGATATTCAAGTTAAAAAATCGTTAGGAAAAACTATAATTATTCCAAAATGTCTCTCTCTCTCTCTCTCTCTCTCTCTCTTAAGCTTTTGTTAAATAACCGTTTTGATGGTAGATATACTTAATTAAAAATTCTGTTATCTCGTGATTTCGTTTTTTTCATAAAACTACCATAGTAGCACACTACATCTTTACGGTAAAGCTCGTAAATGCAGTGGCTCTAGTCATACACGCGATAAATGATTAACAAAGCAGTTGTAAATATCCTATAAGGAACATGAAAGTTCTTAAATAACAAAATGTGTAAGTCTCTTCTCACATTGTTTGGTTTGGTGCTAGTGCGACTTTAAAAGTTCCTTAATTTCATCTTTCTCGGCAACATCCAAGTATTTTTGTCCATCCGGGGTCTCACCATTGGGATCTGCACCATTTTCCAACAATAGCTTGACAACATCTGTGTGACCTTCCCATATCGCTGCTAAAATGACTGTGATCCCATGTTTGTCTTTTGCCTGCAAAGTAAAAAATAAAGCACCCATTAAAAAGCAATGCATACGTTGTAAGTAATAATTGAACAAAAACCATACATGTATATCAGCTCCTTTGTCAAGAAGATACCTAACTACTTCTTTCTGTCCATAGTCAGCTGCATAATGTAATGGTGTCCTATTATCTATCATCTTGTTAACATTGATATTCTGTAACATAAACTTTGATTTTTTCAACAACTGATTCGTCTGACTAAGTAATTGATGTGTTCACAAATTAATTTTAGACTAAGGTAAAGTAAGCTCGGAGTTGACGCAATGACTTTAAAGAAATGATCGAGAAACTGCAAAAACTTGATAAATGAAAGTAGAAACTCAAATGAAGTTAAAAAAATAGTGGCAACAAAAATAGTTCGAAAAACCGCAAGCCGCAAAAATATGTGTGTATAGGCACCAATGATATCAGAGTGAGTAAGAGAAGATATAAAAGTGAGGTTACACGTACACATATTATATCAGCGAAAGAGAAGAACCTTTGGCTTACCTTGTTCTCGAAGATATCGCGAACTTGGTCAAGATCGCCGTTTTTAATGCCCCAGACAAGTTCGCCCATTTCGGCGATTGTTTCGGTCGAATTGATACTCAAAAAAAATGCTACACGACAGAACAATATACCCAACAGTATTGCACACTGACCACTGGTGTATGTACAATGTACATGGACCTACTCTCTCTCTCTCTCTTTCTGCGCGATGATGTGCGTGCAGCCTATGTTCAGGGATGATATGATGATCGGCAGCGAAGCGACGCGCAAAACACAAAACCGTAATAATATACCGAATGATTATCGAAACAATAATATTTATGATTACTCACTCTACAGCTTCGCACTTTCTCTCTTATTTTATCGCTTCGACGTGGGACACTATATAGCCAGCTCGTGTTGCACCTTGTATTATCTTAAATATTTGCATACGTCGACTAGTTATTGAAATAAAAACCCATGGGTCAATTATATTTTTATTTAAATTTTCAGAGAAATTAGCGGCACGAAAATTTGGGCAACCAAGAACGTACCAGTTAAAAATATAAAATAGATTAGAATGTCATAATAATAGAAAATAGAAAATTATCTTGACTTGTAGGGAATAGTTTATTCAGACGGCACGACGAATTTTCATGTATTTTTTAGTATAAAAACAACGTTATTAGGCAACATGTACGTATCCATTATTTGAAACAGAAAAAAAGCTCGAACATATATATTTTTGAATGAATTTTAAAGCATTTTTCAAACTATTTTTAGCCAAAAAAATGTGGAGAAATAGTCTAATTATTTTCCATCAGAGTTGTACAATTGTAATGTAATGATAGTATTGCATCGGAAACGGTCAAGAATACACGAAACATCAACTGTGATTGCCATGTACAACAAATTATTGCGTTCGATTTTGGATAACAAAAGTACAGGGAAAATGAAGAAAAACAAGGAAATTATGTAAAATTAAATACTCAATTTAATCACAATAAAATTACAATCACACAAGTTTTTCATTTTACATATCAATCCACATGTGTGGTAAGATTAATACATAACGTGCATGAGGCTACAATTTTCACAATGTACAAATTAAGTAAGCGTTTTTCGAATACAATTTTTCAGAAACACAAAAATCGCCAACTTGCGCATGAAGAAGAAAAAGATGTGGGGGTGGGGGGGAGGGAGAAGATAACGCACGCAAGTTATTACAATGAGGTAAAAAAGTGATATAAGAAGATCCAAGTATACAGCATCTGCTAAAAATTCACGTTGAGACATTTTTTTTTTTTTTTTTTTTTTTCTTTTTNTTTCATCCAGAAACATATCCCATTTCTATCAAATCCGAACGCGAGTCGCGAGTATTTAAATTAAATCTTGAGTCACAGGTTCTCGCAGCAGTAGGTCAATGACTGTCGTTCGATTGATTTACACAAGTTTTGTGTACAAACGTGATAGCGTAAGAATCGAGGGCTCCATCGATTTGTACGAAAATGTGGCGAGTTGCAAAAATTTACAAAAATAAGTCCACTTGTATATGTTTATCGCGAATTCCGGGTGATGGGACCTTCGAGGAAATATACACATACGTATGTATTTGCTTTGACGAATGGCTTTGTTTAAAAGTCACGGAACAAAGATTTTTACGTCTTTTGCAATGAAGGCATCAGAGAGTTGAGTGTGAAGCCGATTCTCTCTGCGTGTGATGATGGCGCGTTTCGCCCCGAACCGCGGAGTAAATTGTATAGAGTTGGCCTTCGATTTTTCATTTGTTTCTCAGCTGTTGCGGTAATACATTGTCGTATACGCCTTTGGGCAACTAAAATTGATAAAAAAAAAAAAAAAAAAAAAAAAAAGCACGCAACGCTGCGCGTAAGTACATTATGTATAGCTGTTGCCCAACTCGCGATCGAGAATTCCAGCGCGTCTCTCGTGTGTTTACGTATCCGTTCGATTTGTTGTTTGCCGATAGCGAGCAAGGCATATGTACACTGAAATCGGCGCGTTGGGAGGATCGAAAGGAGTATTGAAAAATAAATGAAGAAATGAACGATCGAGATACATATATATATATACATATATATTCGCGGAGGGGAGGACGAAGGGGGTAGATGGTGATCCACTTATGCCTTGGCGGCAGCTTTGACGACCTCGGGCTCCTCGGGACTCTCGGGCGGTACGGTCGAGATCTCGGGGTACTCGAGCTTGGCGCCGCCCTCGCACTCGAAGATGGGACAGCAGCCGGGGAAGGGCGCGGTCTTGTTGGTCTTCAGGCTGAGGTTGCACTTGGGGTTGGGCTTCGGCAGGGGACCGCAGTCATCGACCACCTCCATCAGACGGCCATCCGGTCCCTCGACGCACCTCGACAGGCCGCAGAAGGGCGTCAGGTCCCAGGTCTCGTTGATATTGATCGTCTTGCACTTGGTCGAGGCGAAGCACATGTTCGGGAAATCTGGAATTCATTCGTTTATTTTTTTCATTCCCATATTCTCAATACATTGGAGTTGAATCGAGCAAATTTCATCCGCATTCGTATATCTTGCGTTCTCTGTCGCTCTCTCGTGTTATATAGCTTTTGCTCTTCAACAAAGTGCGAGGTGCTGCGCACTCTCGAGGTCTCGATAAAGAGTCTAGAGTCTTTTCGAGACTTTTGCAGTGTTTCTTTCAAAGACTCGAAGAGTGCGCAGCCCCTCGGCAAAGTATGCGATTCGATGTACACGCAGGGTTTGTTCAATAAGGATAATTAACGTGAGACCTATATATATTTCATAGTCTGCTTTATAAGGCTCGGGTGTCCTATTATCTATCATCTTGTTAACATTGATATTCTGTAACATAAACTTTGATTTTTTCAACAACTGATTCGTCTGACTAAGTAATTGATGTGTTCACAAATTAATTTTAGACTAAGGTAAAGTAAGCTCGGAGTTGACGCAATGACTTTAAAGAANTAATAAATCTTTTTGAACATTTTTTAAATATACATATTTTCTAAGGGCATGGAAATGTTTAAATCGCAACACTTGGATTTACAGTGTAATAGACCGAAGCAAGCGTATAAAAAAGATACCTCTGCCTCGAAAGCGGTATCATTGTTAAAACAAATTTCGCAAAAAGTGTGTACACGCAAGTTATGATTCAGCTTATACGACGCAAACGGTTTTACCGATAATAATTAATAATCAACGGTATACGTATACGTAATATAACGCGAGAGAACTCAACGAGATTGGTCGTCGAAATTTGCCGCAAACTAATTTCCATGCCGATCGCTGCACCAGCACAAGTCCGAGCCAAACAAAAAAACATTGCAAGAAACGTCCCCATTGTACTGTATCCCCTTGTATAAGTATATATACCTGTTTTCCTGATGAAAAAAAAAAAAAAAAAAAAATGTGATCACCGATCCAAAGAACGAACAATGTACCTGTACTATATTGTCACCGTATCTATGTACAACATATACATATATGTATAGGTACACAAAAAAAGTTCAACTCGCACCGATGTATAAATTATGACGGTAAAAGGTATATAATTATCTGATATAGGTATTACTTTCGCATGTAAGGCAAGGATGTCTTACTTTTCCTCGTCCCCGTCAGTGGTGTCCATGTACAACGATATTATTCAAATCACACGCAAAGCGAGAGAGATCGCGGTGGCAATTCCATTGTTTCATTGTACGTCCGGCGCGAGATGACTCTCTGGCTTGTACTATATTAACCGATGCATCCGAGTTTGACAATGGACTGTAATTTTGTCTTCCCTTTAACTCTGTCGGAGGAGAATGGGGTGACGACAGCCATTTGTCTTTCTTCGGATGTTTTTTTTTTTTTTTTTCTTTTTTTTTTTCTTTTGTCTTGGTACTTTTTTGACACTTGGATGCGTGACGGCCAGTGCAGTTACACCGAATACCACCGTCATCGTTGTTTGAACGAAAAAGCCGAAAACTCGAGAGTGTTGTGTAAGAGGCGAAACGAGGGAGAGGACCACACGTTCGATAAAAGGCCCCCCAAGGTAATCGGCACTTTCGCTGTCAAGCGAGAGAGAGATCGGCTAATATGTTATTGTGCAACCTGATGCATACGCGTACACGAGTACTCTCACTTGTATTGCATGCGAAAAAAAAGTTTCGATTACGCTAAAAATCGATGTATTGTACCGATAAACCGAGCAAACGTCCTAATCAGCGTCCGCGTGAAAAAAAAGACGAGTGAGGATTAATTTAGACAATGTCTAAGAGCTTATATGTTACAAGTGTAGGCCACAATGGCACAATCCGATTTCTCATTGAATGCATATCAAATGGGTCGACCCAGTTGAGTGTATCTATTATCTCGCGAAACCGTGACGAGCGTGAGTTTGGAAGCGTAAAATGTATCTTACAAAGGAAAAAAAAAAAAAAAAAAAAAAAAGAAAACACCGTGACCCGTGACAAACAAGCGTGTACAGTGCAATTTACCGTTGTTCGGCCAAAACAGATCTGTATACCTGTATGGATGTACCCGATGACGCGAGGAAACCGTTAAATCCGAAAGGATCCTTGATCCGGAATCAATGATCGAGATTGCCTTCCCTCCCCCCCATTTATACATATCGTACGTGTACGTGGTAGTCGAAATTTTGCGCAACCAACGAGAAAAAAAAAAAATTCAATGTTCGCTAAATGATTGTACATCAGCCACACTTTGTTCATTATCGTTACGAAACATCGAAATCTTTTGAGAGCGTGCAAATTGTATATAAGTATTGAGGATAATATATAACAAGGCGTCGTTTTGTATCCGTGATCGCCTTTGATAAATAAATCCATACGTCCCGGGGGCCGAAAAAAAAAAAAAAAAAAAAGGCATCCATCGTCCTCGTAAATCAGCGCCGACGATTGATTTGTCGAGCAAACCGAAAATCCACGCCTACGCGAGCAGAGCGATTGCGCGACCCGAGGGGGATTCCGCGGATTCGTCGCGTGCGTTGTTGCGACAGTCGCGAGATCGATAAATTAAAAAAGAAAAAAAAAAAGAGAGATCAAAGAGAGGAGGGAAAAAAAAAAACGAGAGAGAGAGAGCAAGTAGGCCAGGGCAAAATGCGAGAAACGATGCAAGTGGGTAGCGCGAGAGCGCCTTATACGCGCGAGGAATGACAAGGATAATGGGCGATTTTCGCCGATACCGTACCTGTGCGCATTTACATCAGGTCGGACTCATTAGGCACCGGAGTTGTCTTTTCCAGAGCACACGCCAACTATTACACGCGGTTTGAGACACTCGCTGGCCATTTAGAAATACACCTCTCAAGTTGTTTATACCATCGTCGTACATATATGTTATATGTATTACATGTGCGAAGGATGTCGTCGGAGTGAGCACCGATGCTAATGAACCGAGCGATATGCATTTTTAATTTGCACGTTATGTGGAAACCCGCGGGAATAATGATGTAACCAACCGCGTTTGTTTATCGCTTGAAATTCATATGGATGATTTGTTTGTTTGTTCCATTGGGTGCGCAGAGAGTACATTATTGAATATCAAGAACAACGAGGACAATCCCAATTTTGTTTATTATCTTTACTGCAACAGCTCAGCTGTATAGTTGCACGAAAATTTAATTTTTGCGGATGGGAAGGCACTTATCCGTGTGTGTGCGCGTACAGTCACGCGCGTGTGGTAATAAGCTCAAGATTGCACGGTGAAAAGGAGTAGTCTCCTGGCAGCAATTACATCGCCGCGGTATACTTGCATAACAAATCAGATCGGACCCAAGGTGAGATATAGGACTCTTTTGTATATACAATAGTTCGGAGCGATTCTTTTCTGAATCATCTCTCCTTCTCTACTATGCACGGTAAAACGCGCTCTTTAAGCGCCAAGAATTCCACTTAATATGTATACTAACGAGGGAGAGCTCGTGTGGGCTTTGGATATTTGCTTTTGGTGTCGTTGCGGTTTAGTCGCAGAACTGGATTTATGGCTAATTGTCGCAGAGAGCGAGAGAGAACACTGTGTAAACCATTGCGAAACTCGAGAAATATATTATATTGTATGATGGCTGCAATGTATGTGTTCCTACAAAAAAAAAAAAAAAAATGGGAAAAGGTCAATAACTTTTTTTTTTTTTTTTTTTTTTTCAAAGGAAACTACTGGTTTGTAAAGCGTGTCTCTCTTTCAAAGGTACCTATGCATTACCATGTGTATGCGCGATCTGTCGTTTCAAATAAAACACAGAGCGTATGTGTCATTTCGGAGTTCATCAAACTCATCGCGTGGGCGGGTCTGCCCCGTGGCTTTTGTCGTTACTCCGATTGTTCGAGCTTAATTACCAGCTTGGGCCGGATCAAATGTTTCACCATCGGAGTATCGGGTAAACAAAAAAAATTTAATTGACAATCCACACGCTTGAAGTAGAGAGACTTGAGTTTTTTTCCCCCTGAAATTTTGTAGGTGCAACCGAGTGAATCGTGTTTTTTTTTTTTTTTTTTTTTTTTTTTGCTCGTAAACTTGGATGAAAAAAAAAAAAAAAAACCTTTGTTTTCCCAACTCCGATCAAAGATTCGACGATGACTCGTGACCAAGAAGGTGGCGGCTATCAGTTTAATTCCCCCACACTACACGATCGCGAAGCTGTTCCTAAATCATCACCGTTGATAAAGAGGTCGTGTGAAAGAATGAAGGAAAAAAAAAAAAAAAAATCATTCCAGCCCAATAGGCACGAAAAGAGTTCCTGCAGCGGATTTCTTTGTCCGCGATTAGCATACACGGAAACAATGAATGTGCGCTCCAATTGTGTACGCCGTCACGTGCGGCTGGACGAAAACAAAAATCGTCGCGCGACAAATGCAGGAAACAGAGTCCGAGTCGCGAGTGGGTGAGGGACGGGTCGATTTATCTCCACCCGGTTTCCGCTCATCGGCGAGCCACCTTACAAGTATATACTCGAGCGAAAGTGACCGAGCCAGTGTTTTTTTTTTTTTGCTTTGAGAAAATTTTCTCCCGATTTCTCGTTCACTCGCCAAAGAGCGACTTGTAATAACCGTAAGGACGAGCATCTGTAACCCTTCGATGGCTTTTGTATTTTATTTCAAGTGCGTGAGCACTCGTGTGGACGTGCATTGCCAATAACGTCCAGGAAACTGCAGCGCACGCCAAGAGAGAACTAAATTTTCAATAACGATTCGTTGGAAACTAATCGTAGTAAGTGTCAATTGAAAGAAAAAAAATCCTCCCCCCGTAAAGCTCAAACTGAATAAGAGAGAAAAAAAAAAGAATTCTCACCCCTGAGCACATCAGCGGGAATGATCCTGCGGAATAACTTCTCGGGCCCGTACTCCTCGTTCTTCGTGTCAGCCGCGTAAACGGCGACGACAGCGAAAACGACAGCAAGGACGATCGGGAGCTTCATGTTTGCCGGCAGTGGTGTAAAATCCTTGGACAATAAAAGTAAAATGAGGGTAACGGCAGCGCGCGTCCTCTCGCGTCGAGTGCAGGGGAAAGAAAGAGCGTGCGAAAGACCGGCGAATTCAGGACTGGTTGGGCCCGAGTCGCGCAACCGGCTTTTATAGCCGATCGCCGGGCGCGGCTCTCCCACCCCTTGTGTACGTACCTCCGACGAGCGGGGACTGACAACGAGCTGGTGTATAATATATTTATAACAGATGGTTCTTTCTTAGCTCTGCATTGGCTGTAAGAGGGAAAAGGTTGCTCGGGAGATCGGTAGACGATCGGTATGGATATGTGGACATATTTGCCGATGTTGACCTTTGGTTTTCATACCGGATGTCGCATGGGCATCTCAGGGTTTTTGTGAATTTCTAATCCGATTCGTATGAGCGTATCTCTCCTGGCGTGGGACACTTTTTCTCGGCAAGTTCACGTACTCGGTTTCACCCTGTGGGGGAGGGGAGATGAAAGCACGATTTCAAGTCGGGACCCAAGCCCGAGTTCGAGCCATCGTGATTTGAGATCTTCTTTTTTTCGGATCTGAAGAAAGTTCGCGATGCTCGAAGAGCGATCGGATGAGAAAACAAAGAAGCCGAATGAATTGACTCTTTTATCGGTGAATCTCGGCCTTACCGATATTTATGATTGGATCGACTTACCAGTTGTTTTTTTTTTTTTTTTTTTTTTCGTGTGGGGGATGCGAATTTCGTGATTTTCCCATT